TTTGGACCTAGTTTTTCTTGATAACGTTTATATATTTGATCGACATGTCTATGCCATCTCCAGAAAATCGGATCTCGGCATGCAACACGAACGTCACCCATTACACCATTGCCAGTCACTAAAATAGTTTAAATGAGCAAAAAAAAAAATTTAGAATTTATAATAATAATAATAATAATAATAATAATAATAATAATAATAATAATAATAATAATAATAATAATATTTTTATACTTACGGCCTGGATCTTTGAGACTCCCTAATATAACATGCCCAGCACTATGAAAAGGAGTATACATACTAAGGTTTGAGTATCTTTCATTAAGACCAGATTCAATCGCAAGACCCAGCTTATTAGCAACAATTTGTTCAATTGGCTTATCATTTTCGTCCAAAAAGTAACCGCCACCTTGTGGTGTTACAGTTTCAATAGATTTTTTAATAAGTTCACGGGTTTTTTTCACTTTATCTACTGTAAAATTAATATTCATTTCGGCTAAAGATAAATAAGTAAAATATTAAATATTTGATAAATTTTTAAAATTGATAAATATTTAAAATTGAAAAATAGTAAAAGATGATTACATAAAAAAATACTCACGTCTATCACCCATTTTCATTGTTTTACCAACAGGACGAGCGACATAAGCTTTAGCATCTGCATTTTGAGTTTTTAAGTGTTTTGAGGGAGTATAACCCTCTGGAATAATCTCATCAAAATTTTCCAAAGGGTTTGTAACATCTAAACCAACACTAAGACGTTCAGCAATATATCTAAATTATTTTAATAATAGTTATTATAAGTAATTTTGATAAAATCGTTCTAAAGGTGAACTTATTCGTGAGAAATAAAACTTACCTAGCATTCATTTGTCTATGCATATAAATAAAAAGTTCACCGAATCGATCTCTTTCATAAGTATTGTCGGTGTTATTTGGATCAGGCATTGGTAAAGCCTTGTATAAAATATGCCAATGCTCATGATGTTCATTCAAATTAGGATCTTCACGCCAGTAATCAAGACGTTTTTCATCACCAGTAGCAGTTCCACATTGAGCAAAAAGGTTTGGATGACGAGCGGCCAAAGATGGAACTCGAAGTCCTTGGTTTCTAGCTTCGGGATGATGAGAAATAAAAGTCATTACAGCGTAATGAACCATATCTACATCCTTTGTTTTACAATCTTCGACAGCTTGGTCAA